GCAAGCAAATGCAGTTTCCTGTGTAAAAGAGCATTTATATTAATTCAGTCGTTGAAATCGATTGAATATGCCATTTTGAGGATAGACTGAAAAGAACTTACACCGGCCCTACTGTACTAAGTTCAAATTACTTTAGCGGCGGCTCAGTCGAGAATTCTGCTCTGAAATTAATTGTCATTGAGAGTGGAGAATGGAAAGGGGTGTGAATTTAAAATGTTATGGCACTCTTAGCATTGTAAAAGAGTAACTGATTGTCGGTTGTACAAAAACCAACCTTGCTCACAACATTTTGTTTTCAAGCCACTTCAGCGAAGATCTCTCAGGGAACAGACAACAAACCTTGCTATTTCTATTAGCTTCTAATAGAGGCAATTTAATTGCAGCTAAGTCAATACTACTATACATATTTATTGGTTCAATGTAAATCAGTTAACAATTTATAATTCGAGGAAAAGGTTGTTGTTATTATAATTTATAATTCCCACTCAGTGCATTGTTTAACTGAGCAAGTGCTATCGTTCAGTTTCAAATGAGGGGAGACAAAGCTAAAATTCTTGAAGTCTTGTTCTCTCAGAGACTTTTGAGGAGTTAGATAAATTTCGCTGAACTCAGTCACTTCTCGAACGAACTCAGAATGCAGACAGCTTACACATGCAAATTTCTCATTACTTTTATTGCATTGCCAATTCAAATTTAGCTAAAACAATACGGTTAGTAGGTAATTTTCGATTCAATTGTAATTAACTTTTAACACCTTGTATGTATTTGATTTCAAGGCAAAAGTTAAAACTATATTCAACATGTCGCATTGATAGAGACAAGACTATTTTGTCCAGTGAAAAAAATTACTCTTCAAACGTTCAATGTTTATTACATACAACAATTCTTGCTATTTGGATTGTATTTTCAATTCAACTGTACCCAATAGTGCAAGTAAAAAAAATCATTATTGATTCAGTGGAAATCAACTTTTCAGTCGTGTTCTTAAAGATACAAAAGTTCCAACCTAAAAATGCATTTGACGCATAAAGATAATCGTCCTACTTAAGCAAGGTAATAAATAAAGGTTTTCTCGCATGTTATCTTGCAATTTGTATCCGTCAGATTAGAAGGGAGAGTGTATCTAAACTAACAACACTGTGAAGCCGGCGCCGAACTACTCTCTTGTAATAAAATTTAATACAGGTACGACATAACCCAAATCGATTATAAATTAAAGAGATGCTTAAATTTGAAGAAAATCTTCAGTAGGTTCTGCGACTAAGAAGGTGCCGCATTGCTAAAAACTGATTATTTGCCGCCCAATAAATACCGCCACATCATTGCTGCACAAAACCAAATTGCCGAACGAACTGATTGATCTGTTTTGCCGCTCAGGTTTTCTGCAGCAGTTAATTCATCGTGTTTCAAACCACACCACTGAAGCAGCGTTTGGTCGGACCCGGGAAAAAACTTATTACTGATTCAAAGCAAATTAACTTTTAGTACTTTTTCTTTGTGGTCAATTTATTAAGGTATAAAAGTGGGAACACTTACAGCGAAATTATAAACGCTAATTAAACATGTTTTGAACCCCGACTAGCTTCACTTCATCTTTCAAACTGATCATCGCTGTAAAGACATGTTGGTCTGAATTTACAAGATTCCTTCGCGGAGTAACAAGAACAATTTGTGTGTGCGTTTCTTCTTTGTTAAAAAGTCAAAGATTTTTTAGATAAAGAGAAGTCATCAGAATTTGGGGCACTGTACAATTAAAAACATTTTAAGCCCGAACGGTTTTGCTTACATTCGGAGATTAATCTCGATATGTGGTCATTTTGACATGAAAGTGAATTTTATTCACAATATCAAAATAAATGACAACTAAAAACAGAATTGAGGCGCTTCATAAATACAGACATGCAATTCTGCGACTAGGTAATATCGGATTTCACATTTTTTGGTGCTATAAAAAATACTCGGACCAAAACTAGAACTTGATTACAGATAAGGAGCGCACGAACTGCTAACTTTTTTTTTGCGTAGAGAGTTCTTTTTTTGTTACATTGCTATTCAATTTTGAAATTCAACGCACCGACCCCAGTGAAAAATAAAAATATTACACAGCCCTTATTTACATTGCAAGAAACTCGATTTCCAAGCTCGGAGAACATCTAAACGATATGGTACATCAGATTTGAGTCGAATTCCGTCGGATTAAAGCGCTATCGTCACTCAGTCATTTTCTCCAGCCTTAAACATCGGCTACATGTATTCCCCTTTATAAAAAAAATATGGCCTTTTTCAAACTTACTAAAATATTATTTTAAGGCGAGAGTTCTCCTTATTGAGATCATATTACTTACTGCAAACTATAACACAAAATGATACAAAAAACATTGAATATAATTGAGGTTAAAAGCGAAACCAAAAACTGCTACACTTACAACTCCTTAGACAGCGGAAAAGAATATCTTCAATCTGTTAGCGACTAGCTTGGTCTAGCTTCTGGCGATTTCATCTTTCCTTTGAATTTTCCTTGAGCGGAAACAAACTCCATTCATTTTAAAAAGAAGTATTTTTGTTGATTATCTTTCCACAAGTTTTCAAAGCGTTCTTATTGACAACTCCTTTTTCGAGAAATTTCGGAGGGTAAATTATTTAATTATATCATATTGATTTAATTCTGTTCTAGGCCTTGCTGGGCTATTACGCAAAGTAGCCCAATGTTAAATAATTTACCAGAACCACTTTGCTTAACAATTTCACGATCAAACTTGAAGTGCGAATTTCCCTTTTAAGAACACAGTGACACCTCAAACAATTATGATGATGCAAGAGCAATAGTCCAGTACCTTACTCTCTCTTCCCCACTCCCCGCTCTATATAGGTGCTGAAGAGGGAAAGTTTAGGAACAAGAGTGGACTACAGGAGTGAACTACAGGAATGGACTAAACGACTGGACTACAGGACTGGACTACAGGACTGGACCACAGGACTGGACTACAGGACTGGACTACAGGACTGGACTACGGGACTGGACTACAGGAGAGCATGATAATCCTTCTGGCAAGGAGAGGTCAGATATTGACATGATATTCAATTTCTTTGAAACTATACACGTCATAAAAGTCCCAGTGTAGTACCTAGGACCTCCCTTCCTCGATTTGGCGGATTTTTTGAACGTCATAGAATGACATGCAACGCTAACTGCTGACGTACAACCTGCTTCCAGGCCCTTTTACTGTAAGGGCCTGAATTATTAAGCGAGCGAGAGCGCTCATTTAAGGTTACACAATACCTTGAGAGGGTTACTTTTGTCGCTATAAAATTGAACATTTCCGAAAAAATGGAAGTAAAATCTTAAGCCGCGCCCGAGTTATTTAGAAAAAAGGTTTTTTTTTAAAAAAAAAAAAAGGTAATAAAACAGTTAGGTGTCATAATCCTCATAGCGCGTCAACTTGGGAATGAGGTTGATGCGGAATGGAAATTGAAGACGAACTCTGCTTGGAAAACGTAATGCGCAGCTTTCTCAACATCCCTAGCCTTACTTTCGGGATCAGGTTAATATGCAAGCTGCAATAGTGGAAAGAACAGCGGACTGTAATAAGGTACGCGAGGATGTCGCTCGGTTGATTTAGTTACACGTGGGCAAGCATGAATTTTTTTTTGTACTTCACTGTTAAGAAAAGAAGGCTCCCCCTGCCTGCTGAGAGGCTCCCTTGCTTATATATTCAGTAGGTTGCTTATATGGATGCAATATGTAAAGAGTGTTTGTGGAAAAAGTGTCTTTGCACCGAAATTTATTGTATACCGCGGGAAAAAAAAAAGGGTTCGGAAACCGTCTTTAGGTTAATTTTGTCCAAAAAAAATGATTCCCCGCGAAAACAATACACCAGCTTTCCATTAGTGACGTTAAAATGTTGCTGCTTACCAGAAAAATTGGAAAAGCATATAAAGTTCGTAACTTATTTTTGTTTACACGGTCAACGAAATTCCCGCCATTTTTTCAAAACATGGAGCCTGGCGCGTGGCCAAAACTCGCTGTACTATTCGTAGATTGGTGACGAAATTGGACAAAAAAAAAACTAGAATGCATACACAGCTGAACTAATGTAAAAGCAAGTTCACCCTTGAAATCTTTAAGTAAAGCGGAACAAAAACAGGAAGTTTTAAAGCAACTTTGCGAACACGGAAAAATGTTGCTGCGAACGCAGCACGGAGGAAATTTTCGGTTCCTTTCGCAGTTCTTTTCCATTTATATTTAAGTCATTTTTCAGTTCGGAGTTTCAATTCTTCTTGCTGATTTTTCTATATTTGTTTTCATTTCAGTTCGGAGAATTTGGAGATCTATCAAGAAGATTGATTATCTTTATTCGCGCTGATTATATGTAAACAGACACAAACTGTCTCAAGTAAAAGCATCAAGTGTAATCCAACTGGAACAACCTTCGCCCACAAACCATTCTCCACTTCAGAAAAACAGAGAAAAATAATCCCACTGCTTAATTTCTCAAACTATTTTATTTCGAAATTTTCACTAGTTATTAATACTACCTATTTTGTTTTTGTGGCATAACGCCAGCTGCTGCAAAAGGCCTAGGTAAAATGAAAACAGCTCCACGATGAAATTATTTGAGCATACGTGGTAATCATGTTGAGCGGTGTAAAAGTTATTTCCTCGTTAAGAAGAGGAAAAAATTGCGCTTTTAATTAGATCGAAGTTTGAGTGAAGAATTAAAAGAAAAAAAAAGCAAGAATCAAGAACTCAGTAAGGAGCCCTGCAAACAAGTCAAACCCCACAGCATTTAAAAATTCCTTATTTACATGACTTAGTAAACACAATTCTCAGCATTTTAATTAATCCTAAGTGTGAAACCGTTTTGTTTCATTACTTTTAAATATTATTTCACTTTGTGTTAATTCAAACGTTTCTGAAATAGAGGGCGACTAAAACATCTATTAACCACGTTCAAAATAATCATGAGTGGAAAAAACCCGTCGCTGCTCAATTTACTCACCTGATTAATAGACAACTGTTTAGGATTTCAAAATTCCGCTTTCGATCTTCAAAATTTAGTTTCTCCGGCTTGGTTTGAGGTGAAAAGAACAAGATTTCTAGGTTTGATTCCACATCTGTTGGGAATAGAAACAATATATGTTGAATTGTCAGAAGTGTTGTTATTCCTAAAAATACAAGTGTATTTACATAAATGAGCTTTAAAAAAATTAATAAAGCCGTTGAAAATTACAAGCCTCACTAAGTCATACAAAACCTGTACGAAATGCGAGGTGCCGCGATTTTTTTTACTCCACCCCAAAGCTACGGAGAGATCTAGACACGGGTAGAAATCACATGACAGTGCATACGATAGCAAGATATTTTCAAAGCAAAATAATATCAACCTCACACCAAAGCTGTTTCAATTCCGTCACATACAACGGCCTGATAATTTGACTTACCAATTCTCGCAAGAGNTTATTATACGACCGAGAAAATGTCGAATGCGCGCGCTTTTATTTGCACTGAATAGCAAATAAAAAGCTAGCTATAGATTTGCCTACTTTCAGCCAATCGCAATGAAGTAATTTTCTCGGTCATATAAATAACAGCGCTTTCAGTGGAAAATTATCTCGATATATTTACATTTTAACCTGCCAGCAAAGCTAAGGGAAATAAGAGGGTGACGAGGTTGTTAGAGAAATCAGCAATTTGTTTTGTTTTATTCCCCGAGTCTCTAGGCCAAAGTAGAATCTTGCCATTTTTAGATTGGCCTATTTAATAAGCCCCCAATTTAACACACCAACCCTCTTTTCCACCCAACCCAACACTACATTGGTCGGCCTCCGCAGTAATTGAAAGGCTGTTTAACCATACAGTACGAGCAGAGTCGGCCTTCGATTTCGAAGGAGACGCTGCTCGCAAATAGTAGAACCATGTCCAGCCTCAATAACCACCAATATGTTCTCTGTAAGACGTTCTCTTAGTGCCACAAGGGTCGTAGGAGTGCCGGCACGCTTTAAGCAAGGTGTTCGAGTTGGGATAAACGCACAGGCGCTTTCTGTTTGTGTTCTTTCTGCCCCAGCCACTCCTCCATAGTATTGCTGAGTGGATTGCAAACTCGGTCTATCATCTTGAACGGTTACTACACCTCTAACAATTTAGCTGAGAACGCATCAACTAATCGCTATCGCCACGAAAAAGAAAACGTGACTGTCACTAACTCCACACGAAACTTGATCGTGGAGAAAATAATAACCGTGTGTGTTCGTTTTCTCCGAAATAAAGTAAAATATTTTATCGCGTGCGGTCAGGACCTAATAAAAAACAAATGATATAGTAATTCTCGCTCATATCCACCTTCGTCTGGCATTTAGCCCATTCCAGTGGTCATTTAGGGATGTCAATGGTGATAAGAACGAGGGAATGCACTTCGCCTTTTCCATGTTTTCTTTCTAAGCAATCTAAACGCGCGCACAGAAAATATTAATTAATTCACTTTACGTTGTGATTCTTCGCGTGTAGCAAGTACTGAAACAACGCAGTTCTGCTATAATTTAGATAACATACTGAGAAATGACATTGAAGTAAAAGCAAGGCTATAATGTAGGCAAAATTCTGTAAATAGCAAATGAGTCAAAGAGTGAGAATTGTATCGCCAATGTATCGTCGACTGCTTTTTGCGCCATTGCAAAGATACCCAGTAAAAAATGATAACTATTCGTTAAATATGTAATGTTCAAATCGATGTGTTTTATATTTTAGGATGACTAAGGTAGATTTGTTTCAAAACGTAAAGAAATTAAACAATACAAATCTTTCTATCATGCTTTACGAAAGCAGTTTCCGCTGTTGTTTCGACTGAGTCATACCGCACGAGTTTCATCCGCATTAAACTTTAAGTTAGAGGAAATGTCGACAGTACCTTGAAATGTTGAAATCTTCTAGTTGTTCTAAGGCAAATAACCAGAGCACAGGGCACAAAATTCAAAACTACTTTTAAGATTGCCGTCGTCCTGTAAACGAGTGAAATACGAGAATGGTGCGTCTGTGTCAGATTACGATTACTGTGGGATGATGTGACGTGTATTATGTAAAATCAAAACATTGGGAATTGGCATGTTTTTGTTTCTATATCTGGAAAGGGCGCAGCGCGAAAAAAAGGGGTACGCCAACTTTCGCGCTGCGTGCCTCAACTAACTGAACGCCTGGAAGAGGCTTTAGCTAGTGATCATGAGAATACATCAGTGCCCAGAAGTTCTGAAAAATGACACCTTACACTGAAGCTGATCGACACACACTAGAGAGTGTTTTTCTTTTTTTTTAATGAAATCGGCTTGAACATTGATTAGCTGAGCTTTTTAGTTATGAAAGGGAGCTGGTAAACATTTAATTTTTCAAAAAATCATTTGAAATAAATGTATATATATAAATTACTAAATGGAGTAAATAAAGTGTGTTGTTTAAGAATGTCAAAGGGGTCAAGGAAATAAGCCTTTTCGAAGAAAAATAAGGTAACATTACTGTACTGAATAGCAAATTGTCAACCAATAGGACGAAGGCGGAAAGGAAAATTCTTTATACCGCTTTTTGGGTAGTTAGAGGTTTTCAGAAAATTGCATCCCTCTGCCGTGGCCTCTTGAACAGTTCCCTTTCTCACTAAACCTTTCTCTTTTTTGTTGCATCTAGGGGAGACGTACATAAATCTTCTTCCACTCGTAGGTAAAGCTATTCTGGATGACCAAAGTGATGGAGCAGTTGTGAAATACTTCAAAAGTAAGATACAATGAAAGTCATCTTGCCGTAGTAAGTTAGCATAGATTTTTACAATTTTGTTTTTCCGTTTGTTTTTTCTCCTTCCGGCGTTCTTGTTTCCATTGAGAAGATATATTAAACACTCGAGACAGAGTTTGACCACATTTCCAGGCACCTCAACGTTACATAAACACTCCCCTAGGATAAGATAGATATATTTCTTTCAAAATTTTATTCTTTGAAATGCTGTAGAAATTTAAAAAAATGCAGGGTTATAACTCTTATCCGTTTCTCCCATTCAACATTTTTAAGAACGGAATTCAAAATACATCGATTGGTATTGAAGAAATGTTGATCAGGAATAAAATAGACTAAGCTCTTCAATCTAAAACTAAAATTAAAAAACCTAACAGCAGCTTTTCAATTTCAATTCTTTTTTACTTGCCTCGGATTTTTTTTAATATCCGGTTATCCAAAAATTTGCATCGATGCAACACTTCAAGCAGAATCAAACGCTATACTTGCTTTTTACAAAACCCTGATTTAACTGGACACAAAACCATTGATGTCTAGTATGTAATATGTCTTGAGATTGTTGCCGTAAATGTGCTTTTGCTCCAGCTTTCCGCCTCATCCAGTTTGCTAAAACACTCAAGAATATAGCAAATGACAGTTTTCAGGAGGCCTCGCTCCAAATTTGAATTTTGGATTTAGCTTCAGTCCTGCGATGTATTAAATTTTTGCCACGGTAGCCCATAACATTGTTTTGTTCCTCAGACATTATACACTGCGTAAAACGGAAGAAAACTGAGAAAGGTTAACTGTCTCTAACGTCCTTGTTTGAAAGTGAATATGAAGTGAAAACACGATTTGTATTCCTTCACTCACT